CAACTAGACATCCATATGATCCTAGAAACATAAATGTCAAGGTAAACATGTAAAATTCTATCTAAAAAACTAGGAGAATCTGGGCACTGGTGGCTCATGCCTGTAATCCTAGCTACTCAGGAGGCTGAGATCTGAGAATCACAGCTGGAAGCCAGCCTGGGCAGAAAGGTCTGTGAGACTCTTATCTCTAATAAACTATTCAGAAAAAGCTGGATGTAGCACCGTGGCTCAAGTGGTAGAATGCTAGTCTTGGGCACAAAGAAGCTCAGGGACAGCACCCAGGCCCTGAGTTCATTGCCCCAGGACTGGAAAAACAAACAAACAAACAAAAAACAGCTAGGACAGTATCTTCAAGGTGTCAAATATTTCAAATGACAAATACTAAAAATTGGCAATAAAATAGTGTGCATCAAGATTAAAAATTTCTGTTCACTAAAAGATAGGAAGATTAAAAGATAAGGTACATACAGACTGGTAGAAATATTCAAATTACACATATCTGACTAAGAACTTTTATTTGATATCTAAAGAACTACAAATTTAAAAATAGTGAGTCATAGTGATGCAAACTTATAATCCCAGCATTCAGAAAGCTGTGGGGGGGAGGATTTCAATTTGAGTCCAGACTGAGACACACAGCAAGACTGTTGCAAAAAATAGTTAAAGCTATAATCCTAGCTACTCAGGAGGCTGAGGTCTGAGGGTTGAAGTTTAAAGCCAGCAAGATCAGGAAAGTATGTGAGATCCTTATCTCCAATTAACCAGCAACAAGTCAGATGCAGAGATGGGCTCAAATGGTAGAGCACTAGCCTTGAACAAAAAAGCTAAGGAACAGCATCAGGCCCCAAGTTCAAACCCCTCCCCCTCACACAGAGGATATAAACAAATAAAAATAAATAAATAAATGGCAAATGATTTGAACAGACACCACATCAGTGAAGACACTCTGAGTCAGGTGCTGGTGGCACACACCTGTACTCCCACCTGCTCTGGAAACAGATATATAAGGACTGCAGTTGGAGGCCAGTGTGGGTAGAAAAGTCCATGAGTCTCATCTCAATTAAGCTGCAAAAACTAGAAATGGGGCTGTGGCTCAAGTGTTAAGAGTGCCAGCCTTGAGCAAAAAATGCTAAGCAAGTGTAAGGTCCTGAGTTCAAGTCCCCATACCAGCAGATCTGCGTGAGCACACCCACACATGTGCACATGCGTGCACACACATACACACAGGCATGAGAAGACACACTGAAGAACAATAAACATACGAACAGAAGCTCAACTTTGGTATTCTTCAGGGAGCTACAAATAACTACACTAAGAAACCCTATATTGGTTACAGTGATGGAAAGCTGACTAGTACAGAGCTAGTGATTTTCCTGGCTTAGAGCCCAGGGTCTTCAACAGGAGTGGATAAAGGCTCTGGGAAAGTGCTAGCAACTGGAAAGTAAAGAGCTCCAAAGCCTGACGAGTCCGAGAGTTGGCCAGAATATGGAACACGTGGATATATGCTAGTGGGAGTGTAAATAATACAACAACTTTGGGAAATAATCTCACAGTTTCCAATAAAGTAAATGTACACCTATCCTAAGATGCTAATTCTACTCTTGGGGATGCACCTGAAGTAAACTAGTTTCAAGCCAAGCACAGAGGCACTGGCTATAATCCCAGATCCTGAGGAGGCAAATGCAAGAGAAGCATGAGTTTGAGGCAGGCCAGGGCAAAGTTATCAAGCCTTATCTCAAAAATCAAATCAAATCAAAAGAGTTGCGGGTGTAGCACAAGTAGAAGAGTGCTTGCTTTAGTGCAAGGCACTGAGTTTAATCCTTAGTACCACAGAAAGATGAGGAGAGGAGAGGAGAAGGGAGAGAAAGGAAGGGAACAGAAGAGAAGGGAGGAAAGGGTGGAAAGGAGGTGGGAGGGAAAGAAGGGAAGGAGAGGGAGAGGAGAGGCAGGGGGCGTGGCCAAGTGGGAGACCACCTGTCTAGCAAGCATGAGGGCCTGAGTTCAATCTCCAGGATGACCACAAAAGAAAAAGAAATAAATTGAATAAATAAATCCGCTATCAAGAGAGGGATGGATAAGCAAATAGTGCACGGTCTGGATCTTTTATTGGTCTTCTTACAACAATCTCCAATAATATTCTCTTAATATTGCCTTTATGAAAACTCTTAACTACGCTGACATTGCAACAGCACAGGGAGATGAAGTATTTGGGGATCTGCTTGAGCTAAATGTTCTAGTTCTTCCTCGTTGTTACTAATTTGGGGGCCGAGTAGGGGTTTTTGGTGGTGGGGTTGTGTGTTAACTTTGCTGTTTTTACAGGCATAGGGCAAGCAAGGAGGCTGCTGCAGTTTGAATGAGTGTCCCTCAAAGACCCCTGTGGAAGGCTGGTCCCAGCCTATGGCATATTGGGAGGTGGTGAGTCCTTTAAGGGGAAGGCTAGTTAGAAGTCTCCTGGCGTGCATGGAAAAAGGGACCTGAGCCCTTTCTCTTCCTCTTCCCCCGTGTGCTCCCACTGTGTTGTATGCCTCCAAAGCAATGGAGCCACCAGATCAGAAACAAGGAGCTTCAATCAACCTTTCTTCTTTGTAAGTTCATTCTTTCAGGTGTTTGGTTACAGTGATGGAAAGCTGACTAGTACAGAGCTAGTGATTTTCCTGGCTTAGAGCCCAGGGTCTTCAACAGGAGTGGATAAAGGCTCTGGGAAAGTGCTAGCAACTGGAAAGTAAAGAGTGGAGCCCCCAGAATTCTGGGTCTCTGCTCAAAGTCAGAGGCAATGGCCTAGCGGCCGACAACCCATCACCCTCCAGGATGACAAGCCCCTGTTTGGAACCTTACCTCCAACAGCAACAACTCAACGCTTTCAGAACCCCACAGCACACCTGGAAGTTTCAGTCTAGAACACATGCCCACATCAGGCTGTGGAAATCCAGTTCCAGAAACACAAGAGACAGATGGCAGGCAAGATGACTGAGCATATACGTATATGAGTGCATGTGTGTGCACATGGCTTGCATGGGCGCATGCACAGGTACATGTGTGTGCGTGCCTGTGACTATGTGGTGAGTGCATGCATAACATGAGAATGCGCACATGCATGAGTCCCAAGCAGTAGAGCAGCATCAGTGAGCAGAGGCTGCAGGACGGGCTGGCTGGCTCATGCTTCTCTAACACAGACGTGGGAACTCTATTTCTCCCAGAGGTAAAGATTTCTCTATCAGCTGGGGACTTACAGAGATTGCAATGCATCTGGGAATTTTGCCTTAAGAACTGGTGAGCACTGGGTGTTGGGATGGTACCACAGTGATATTTATTGCCCAGAGACTTACAAAAAATGGCAGCATTTTGAAGCTCCCTTGGGTCAGAGGTTGCTGTGGACTCTTCTGTGCCCTTTTCCCCTTTATCTTTGCTGAACCAGTTTACTGAAGACAGAAACAGACCTGGCTGGTAAAGAGACACATTTCTCAGCTCTTTTTGCCAGAGGAAGTGTCATGTGACATGGTCTTAGCCAACAAAATGTAAGCAGCAATGGCTGAATGGACTTTAAGGAAGCTCCTCCAAAGAAAGGTAGAGTTGGATGGCCTGTGTCGCTCACCCCTTACGTTTCTCTTCCCTGAACCCTAGCTGTGATCGTTCAAGCTCCGGCAGTCATATTTACAGCCCAAGGTCCTGGAGGATGAAGCAGCGGCAGGCACAACCCTCCAGACATCTTTTCTAGAACAGACTTCTATCATATCAAGCTGTGGTATTTGAGGGGAGAGGGGCGTGCCTGTGGTTTTGGGGGGGGGGTTTGAGACTTAACTGATTCAATACGCAAGCTCCAACCACAGGAGCATGATAAATAAAACACAATCCCAGTCATTCGACAATTATGCAGTGACAGATATGCCACAGGCGAGAGGAGATTATGATAAATGACTAAGTAGGTTGAAGGCAGCGTGCACAGTACGATCTGTCTCATGAAAGAAGCGTGTGTGAGACGTGGAAAAGATATGAAGCACATTTATGGCACATTTCCCACCCTCCTACCCCTTCACCCCCCCCATCCTGGGGCTTGAACTCACGGCCTGGGTGCTGTCCCTGAGCTCCTTTTGTTCAAGGCTAACTAATGCTCTACCACTTGAGCCACAGTGTGACTTCCAGCTTTTTCTATAATTAATTGGAGATAAAAGTCTCATGGACTTTCCTTCCCAGCTGGCTTCAAACCATGATCCTCGGATCTCAGCCTCCTGACTAGCTAGGATGACAGTCTTGAGCCACTGGAGCCTGGTTTACAACACCTGTATGTGTGTGTGTTTTGAAACAGGATCTCTTTGTGTAAGCTAGGGTAACCTGAGGCTTACTACATATCCCAGTCTGGCCTCAAACTCCAGATCCTCCTGCTTTCGTGTTCTGAGTGCTGGGATTACAGGTGAGAACGCATACACCAGCTTCATTTACAACACCCTCGAACCTCCTGTCCCGGCTGGTGCTATAGAGGTTTTTCTTTTTCTCTCCCTCCATCCCTCCCCCCTCTCTCCTTCCCTCCATCTCTCTCTCTTTCTCCTTCCTTCCTTCCTGTTCTTTTTTGTGAGTCCTAGAGCTTGAACTCAGGACCTGGGTGCTATGCTGCTTTGGCTTAAGGCTATCACTCTGCCACTCCCATGGTGCCACTTTGACTTTTTTTTGAATAGTTTATTGGAGATGAGACTCTCACAGACTCTCCTCCCCAGGCTGGCTTTGAACTGCGATCCTCAGACCTCAGCTTCCTAAGTAACTGAGACTACAGGCATGAGCCACCAGTCCCCAGCTCTTTTTCTATTGAAGATGTATAACAGCTCAGATTTTCTGGCTTTGTGACAGCAGAACAATAGGAGCTTTTTTTTTTTAAGAAAAGAGAATTATGGAATTTTTAAAAACAAAAAGTATGTAATGTCTTTCTGTCTTTTCCTTTTGTAGGCGCGGCCCCGCGTGGCCCTCAGGACTGGTGGCACCGACAGCCACCGCCCTTTGCTATGTCCTACCTCAGTCCCTGGGCCCCGGGGCCGGTGGTCTGCATCAGCCTTCTCCAGTGAGGCCTGCTCTGGGGCAGACTCGAGGGCTCATCCACAGATGTCCTATTTTCTGGTGCATCTGTGACATTGAAGCAAAGGAAAGAGTTAGAAAAGGCACATCTTCCCATTTTCAGGCAATTCTCCCTACGACAGGACCGCGGCAATGGTGACTCTGGAAGGGGAAGCAAGCGGCTGGAGGAGCTGCCCCTCCTGTCACTGATCCGGGGGCCACACTTGGCTCTCTTGGTGGCCTGGATCTGTCATCTCTATGGAGATCATAACTATGATATCAGAAACGTGGTGTATGTGAACACCTACATGGTTGGTATAATAAAAAGGAGTATTGGAAACAAAGACTGAAAACTTAGATCTAGACACAGTTAGTTGGGTAAAGTGGCTCATGTCTGTAAAACCAGCTACGTGGGAGGTGAAGACTGAGAGGATGGTGGTTTGAAGCGAGCCCAACGTGAAAAGTTCGTGAGCTCTCATCTTAACCAGTCAAAAGATGAGCATGGTGGGCCCATCTGTCAGCTCAGCTACACCGGAGAAATGTAAATAGAAGGCTTATGATATGAGGAGGCATGGACAAAAAAGTGAGATGTTATTTGAAAAATAACTAAAGCATAAAAGACTGGAGGTGTGGGCTGGGAATGTGGCTTAGTGGTAGAGTGCTTGGCTAGCATCAAGTCCTGGGTTCGAACCCTCAGTACCACATAAACAGAAAAAGCCAGAAATGGCACTGTGGCTCAAGTGGTAGAGTGCTAGCCTTGAGCTAAAGAAGCTCAAGCCCCAGGACTGGCTAAAAAAGACAGGAGGTATGATTCAAATGGTAGAGCACCCTCCTAACAAGTGCAAAGCCCTGAGTTCAAACCCAGGTACTGTCCATTACAAAAAGAAACACACACATATAGACTTGGTTCTGTCTTAGAGGGCAATAAAGCCATAATCATTGATATTAGCATCAGTGATCATTGATGATAACACAATCCTTTTGAGGACTACAAAATCTTTGGCAGGTGGTTGATCTCTTCAGATGTGATCTTACAAAGCGTGGCATCCTACTGGCTGGCGAGTGTCACTCGGGCCTGGTTTCTTTCCTGGAGTCTGCCATCCCGCAGAGGGGCCAGGCCATGCTCTACGGGGTTTTTACAGATGACAAGTGGAGGGGCCCGCGGGGCACGTGTCAAGGCAGGCAGGCACCTCCCTCTGTGGTAGGGTGTGGACCGGGGAGGCCTGCTGACAGGTAGCCAGGGCTGGCTGCTCACCTCAGTCCTTTCCCGCCCTTCTCCTCAGTGAGGCAGAGCAGGGATCAGGGAACCTGGCTTGTTTCGAGGCAGGCATTTTAACCACAGAGCTTGGAGTCTGTTGGGCTGGGTGTGGTGGCCCCTTCGGGGGTGGCAGGAAGTGAGAAGACTCCTGCTCTGTGTTCCACATTGCTTTAGCATTCGGGGCTTGGTTTTGGGAAACCACAGACCTGAGGCTCTTTTCCCATTGGCCCTGTCTTTCTTCATCTTTATCTCGGCTTTTTTGGTTTGAAGCTGGAATGTTCCTCTAAGGCTCCCATGTTGAGGCTTGGCCACCAGCTAGGGGCATTTGAAGAGGCCCGGTCTAGTTGGAGGAAGTAGGTCTCTAGGGGCGGGTCCTGGAAGGACCTTGTCCAGTCTCTTCCTCACTTCCGGTGGCTGCTTCCTGGTCACCATGAGATGCGCAGCCTCTTCTGCCACACACTGCCACTGCCACGTTCTGCCTCAGTGATGAAGTCTACCAACCTCAGCATAAAACCTCTGAAGCCATGAGCCAAAATAGACCTTCCTTCAAGTTGATTTCTCTCTGGGACCTTGCCACCTTGATGGAGAGTTGACTAACACATCCACCTTTTCTCCTACTACAAAAGATCCCAACCCCCAGTCTTGGCAGCTATGTATCTTCTGTGTGTGTGAGTATTGAGGCTTGAACTCAGAGATTTGCATTCTTGTTTAGCTTTCTTGCTCAAGGTTGGTTCTCTACCACTTGAGCCATACCTCCACTTCCAGTTCTTTTTTTTTCGATGAAAAACAAAATTTTAATTTATTTTTAATTATATTACAGTATCCAGAAAAAGTAATAAAAATACCCATTGCTATATAATTGCATAAAGCAATAGGGCATACGAGGAACAGAAATTTTTTTAAAAAATCAGAGATTTACATCTTTTACTTACATTTTTAATCAACAAACACTTTCTGCTTTTTAAAACATAGCAAATTTCTATGAGCAGAATACTTATGAAAATGGTTATACACAGTTATAGTTTTTAAAAGACAGTTTTGATTGTGAGTGGACAGAATACACAAAACAATGATACAGATAAGTAAAAATACCTAGAGTTGTAATATTTAGGAAAAAATCTTTCTTAGGTGTTTCAGAGTGGGTGGGAAATGTGTGTGTGTGTGTGTAAAAATCACATGAAGAAATTTTAAAATTTTAAATAAATTGGAGATAAAAGTCTCATGAACTTTTCTGCCTGGACTAGCTTTGACCCTTGATCCTCAGATCTCAGCCTTTGGGTAGCTAGAATTATAGATATGAGCTGCCAGTGCCCAACTACCTCGTGTTTTTTCTGTAAGCTCTGTTCCTGGTCTGACCAACAGCCACATGTGGTTCTTACACACTGGAGACACGGCCAGTGTGACTAAGAAAGTGCATTCTCCACTTTATTCAACTTAATTTAAACTTCGGTGTAAACATTGATTCTTGATTCAGTGACTAGAAAACTTCTAAAAATATTGCAACAAACTGTGCATGTAAATCTTTCCTGACTGTACATTTTATGAAATCTAAATCCAGATTGAGTCTTTCCAGCAAAAATAGGGCATGAGAATTGAGAAAATACTCCATAAATTCTAAGAGAGTGCAAAGAAGACATAAAGTAGCTCACTGATAATTGTTTTGGGTGGTACTGGGGTTTGAACTCAGAGATTTATGCTGCTAGGCTGGTGCTTTACCACTTACTATCTCTGATATTAATTATTAATTATAGGATACAATGATAATCCTTTGGAGACATTATTTTGGAGACATTATTGAGTTAAGCAAAATATATTAAAGTCAACTCCATTTCTTTGCAGTGTGTGTGTGTGTGTGTGTGTGTGTGTGTGTGTGTGTTTGTGTGTGATGGTCCTGGGATTTGAACTCAGGGCCTGGGTGCTATCCCTGAGCTTTTTGGCTCACAGATAGTTCTCTACCCCTGGTGCCATAGCTCCACTTCTAGATTTTTGCTGGTTATTTGGAGATAAGAGTCTTACAGACTTTCCTGCTTGAGTTGGCTTCAAACCATGATCCTCAGATCTCAGCCTCCTGAGTAGCTAGGATTATAGGCATGAGCCACCAGCACCCAGCTTCTTATATATATATTTTTTTGGGTCCGGTTGTGGGGCCTGAACTCTGGGCCTGGGCGCTGTCCCTCAGCTCTTCAGCTCAAGGCTAGCACTCTACCACTTGAGCCACAATGCCACTACCGGCTTTTTTCTTTTTGCTTATGTGGTGCTGAGGAATCAAACCCAGGGCCTCAGGCATGCAAGGCAAGCACTCTACCACTGAGCCACCTTCCCAGCCCGCTTCTTATATTTTTTAATGTGGCCACTGCAAGGGTTGAAAAAACTGGTATGACCAGTTTGCATTACTTTCTGTGAGCCCCAGACAGGTGAGAGAGAGCCTGAACTGAGCACACCACACCTTTCACTAACTGAATGGGGCTGGGTAAGTGGTTTTATCACTCTGGTCTGCTTGATTTTTATGATGTATGTATATGTGTGGGTGTGTGTGGGTGTGTGCACACATGCACATGCCAGTATTGCGGCTTGAACTCAGGGTCTTATGTGCTCTCATTTGGCTTTATTAGCTCAAGGCTAGAGTGCTACCATTTGAGTCACACAGCCAGTTTTTTTTTTTTTTTCTGGCTCATTGGAGATAAGAGTGTCTTGGATTGAAGATAAGAATCTTTTCAGCCTCCTGAACAGCTAGGATTCTAGGCATGAGCCACCAGTGTCCAGTATTTGCTTGCTTTTTAAAATCTATAAAATGAGTATGTTAAACATGCTCTTTAGTGTGTGTATGTGTGAGAGAGAGCCAGGATCTTTCTATGTAGTCTGGGACTTGCGATCCTCCTGCCTCCTCTTCTGAGTGCCGGGACACAGGCCTGCTCTATGCAGTCCGGTCCACAAATAATCTTGCAGGGTCTGCCTAGCGGAGCCACTGGGGACCTGTGAGTGCCCAACCCAGTCAGCTCTCCCCATGAGTTGGCCATGACCTTTCTCATTCTCCAAGACTCATCTGAAATAGCACTGCAGGCGAATGCGCCAGGGCTAGCCTGCTGGAAGATGAATTGCCTTTGGAGCACAGACCAGCGGTGTCGGCTGGCTAAGTTGCCCTTGGGCTGTCATCTGCCATCAGCCAGCTGAGCGGGGCTGCCCCTATCTTCCAGCCCCAGGCGCAAGGCCTGAAAAACTGGCTCTGAAAGGGAAACCAGCAACCGATCCCAGACAAGAGGAAATAACAGGTATTACCATTCTAAGTTGCTTGATTTAAGGCCCAAAGCTCCTTGATAGGAGGGCTTGGTGAACAGTGTTGAATGCTTAGTGAAGGCTGGACCTAGAGCAGAGTGGCCTAGAACAGGGAGGTGTGACAGCTCCCTTCCCCAGGGTGGCCATGCTATCTGGTGGCAGCTGCCACGTCCCAGGGCTGGGAAATGCTGCCATGTTCAAGGGAGGTCTGACCTGCTCCGTTGGTAAAGGCTGTGAATTTTTTTCTGCTCAAGATGAATGACGAAAAGGACCCGGGTCTGATCAGAGAGATGAAGGGTCCTGAGGTTTTCACCTCATTTATGTTCAGGACAGCGGAGACTCTGACTCGATGGTGACAGAGAGAGAGCAGAGCAGGATAGAAGGCTGGATGTCCACTGAGGAAATTCACGTTCCCAGGCACCCCCAAGCATGGATTGGATGGCTGTGAGTCTGGGCCCCCCTTCTCCCCACCCCCCCATCCGCGCCACAGTTTTGTCAGGTCTTATAAGTAGAAGTTTGTGAGGTGGCCTGGCCCAGGGCAGACACACACAAATTGGAGGAAGGTAAATCATTAGATAATAGGCTCTCACCTTTTTGGATCTATCCCTGATCTTTTAAAAATGTTTGTTTGTTTATTTATTTATTTACTGTGGTACTGGTCCTGGGACTTGAACTCAGGACCTGGGCACTGCCCCTGAGCTTTTCTGTTCAAGGTTAGCCCTCTACCACTTGAGCCACAGCTCCACTTCTGACTTTTTTTGGTAGTGAATTGGTCTTTCCTGCCAGGGCTGGCTTCAAGTTATGATCCTCAGATCTCAGCCTGCTGAGTAGCTAGGATTATAGATGTGAACCACCAGCACCCAGCTCCTGATCATTTTTAAAGCTTTTATTCTCCTTTATTTAATGCGATGTTCTTAGCACTGGTAACTAAGTGGATATGAAGGCCTGGCATGACCGCTGCCCCCAGCACTGACCTGCCAGGCAGCTGGAGCTCCGTCTAGGGGAGCCCCTGGCTCTGCTTCTGTGTCTCATGGCGCGATTGAAGATGGAATTTCTCTGAATGGAGATGTGGTGGTGTTCTTTGTCTTGGCCTTCCTCTTCGCTCTGGGGATGCTCCTGGTCTTCTGAGAGGAGCTCAGGCCTCACCTGGGTCAATTCATCACTGATTTTCCATGACCCACTTTCTGACTTCCTCCAAGGATTTTCCAACTCTTCAGACCTCTGGGATTCCATGACAATAGACTTGACGGTTGATTTCGAGAGCTTTGGAAGAAAGAGAACGGTTTTCAATGAGAGTCATTGAGTTAAATCCCCCATGCCAAGCGTAGAATTCCCACTTCCATTCAGCCTTCATGGAATTTGGGATCCGCAGCTCATCCTGCCATCCACAGCTTTGTCAATGAAAATCACAGCTGTAACCACTGTAATTCAGATACATTCATGCTCATTTTATAATTGAAGCTTGTTTATACTATTCATAAGAGGCACTTTGGAGAAAATGCCTAAAGTGGGTTGTGTAACTAACTTCCAAGTAAACATCTCCTGACTAATGCTGGAGAAAAGTACCAAAAATAGTAAGGGGACCCCAGGAGAGCAACCCAAGGAAGCATTCACACACATACAGAGAAAAAAGGAGCTGCAGGAAGAGGAGAGAGGTCTGTCTGGCTGCAACAGGTCATTTAAGGCTGAGTAGCCTGGAACCCCTTGAGGATCAACTCTTACCATCCGCTAGCGGCAAAGACTATTTTGTGGATTAGTGGTCATTCTGATTGAACCGTGTATAACAGTTGGGGGACACTAGGAGGGTCCTGTTGCTGCCCGGTGGTCTAGAGTCACAGAATAGTCACCCCTCCGGGGTGGCCACCTCACATGTCATCTTAGCTGAGACACTGTCCCAGAAAAAAATAAAAAAGAGAGACGTTACAATCAAAAACTTCCTGGAACTTCTGGGTACTGGTAGCATATGCCTGTAGTCGTAGCTACCCATGACATTGAGATCTGAGGACTGAAGTTTGAAGCCAGCCTGAGCAGACAAATCCATGAGACTTTTATATCCCATCAAGAAGTAAAAAGTCAGGAAAGAAAGAGGGAAAGAAAGAAAAGAAGGAAGGAAGGAAGGAAGGAAGGAAGGAAGGAAGGAAGGAACTTAGAACTGCCCAGGCTAACGCAGGTCCCTCCCCACATAGGTCTCTTTCCAGGGTGTGGGGTCTTGGGGTGATAAGGGGGTCTGGTGGACCTTTTGAGAGCATGGGATCCCATGACGGTCTTGGGGTACAGACAAGGGCTGCCGGTCGGGAGACTGTCCACTTTGGGGTGCAGGTTAGTGCTTGGGGACAAGTGAAGAAGCAGCTCGTTCATCTGTCGTCCTCCTGTGAAATGGGGAGAGCCGAGGGCTGAAGCTAGGACACCCTCCATTTCCACTGCCTGCACCCCTTTCCTCACTCAGACCCTTCCTCCGGCCTAGCCCAGCTCAGGCACACAGTTCGGATGGAGGGACCGGGGTGGGTGTGGGGGGATCCTTCTGGAGGCGGAGAACAGCTTTGTTCATCTGAGGCAGGAATTAGGGCTCTCTGGTGGGGTGGGGGGCGGGGACTGACACCAACTCTGGGTCCTGGAGCCACGCGCACGGCTCACCCAGAATGGAGCCTTCTTCCTCCCTCTATTGGCCGCAGGTAGCTGGCCAAGCAAAGGAGGGCATTCAGGCGTGGGGCAGAGAAAGGGGCTGCTTCGGAGCAGCCTGAGCACTTGGTGCTGGGGAACCCCACTTCTGGGCCTGTTGCCTCTCCTGACCCACAGAAGTCCTGCAAGCACCCTGAGATCTGCCCATCCGGCCGGGGAGCAGCGCCGGTCCTTGCCTGGGCATGCGTAGCTGGGATCCCCTTTAGGTTGGACAGTGACTGCGACTTTCATTCTGGGAGGGCCGGAAGGATGCCAATGTCATGTGTCACCCAGTCCCCTGACCCCTGACTCTGGACTCCAGCTCCCCAGGGCGATTTTCATTCACCAAGTGCAGCCTGAGGGTAGTTGGGATAAAAGCTAACCTGGTTTTGAACCCTGCAAGCACAGGAGGTGGGGGAGGCCTCTGCCCTGGTCACATGAGCTGGGGACCCCAGGCCTGCCTCTCGAGGGAAGGCTAGCTCAGGAGGAATGCGCTCACCATGTCGCCGTCTCTCCTGGAGGCATCGAGAGGGAGGTGGAGGCAGTGAGGGACTTTGACTTTCAGAGCTGTTCCCAAATGGGGCCTGGGACTGCACCCCCAGACAACAGAGGGCCAATCTCAAAGCTGAGACTTTAGGGTTCGGTGATGTTCATTTGCCTTCCTGGGAGTCTCATTTTCTCCCTTCACATTCTGCTTCCCACAATGGCTCAATCCTTCCTTCCTTCTTTTTTTTTTTTTTTTTTTGAGCAAGGGTACTGAGTTTGAACTCAGGGCCTTGTGCTTGCTTGCTAGGCAAATGCTCTACTGCCCGAGCCAGTTCCCCAGTCCATTGACCCAACTTCTTGGCTGACCTGGGACAGTAAGATGGCTTCTAGGGTGGGATTTTGGGGGTGGCCACGGTAGGAATTCATGGGTGTGGGGTGCTGGGTATGCTAAGTCTCTGAATCCTGTTGGTGGCTGGAGGCCTTTGAAGATCCTGAGTGAATAGATGACAGGATTCCCGGAAGCCCTGGGCTGGTGTGTCTGGAGCCCGTGGAGGGCTTTCTTACAGGTGTGGCAGGTGAGTTCCCAGACCTGGGCAGGGCTGAGCAAAGATCATGAGGAGTCCAGGGTTGTGATTTATGATGGTCTGGGAAGAGAGAGCAGCAAGCCTGCTGCTGGTAGCTTGGAAAGGGAGAGTGAGCCCAGTTTGGGGTTAGAGCGTGTGAGGTTCAATGTGGGGTTAGAGAGGAAAACCTCTGAACCGAAGCTGCATTAGTGATCTAGGGGACACTTGGGGATCCTTCAGAGAATGTTCTGGATGCACTGAGTTAGGGGGTGGGGCTGGTCATCCCAGCCATTTTCTCTGTGAGAGGGCTCTGATCCATGAGAAAATGCCCCAATACCTTATTGGCTTTAAGACCACACACACACACACCCTCAGTTGGTTTTAAGTTCTGTGTCTTTATAATATAGAGGTGACCTTAATAGGTGGACGTTCAAGGGGACAGCTTTATTCCCATGCACTGAGTAGGTGTTTGCCAACACCTGCTGGCGTACAGCACACATCTGTTTTCTGTCACTCCTGTTTCCTGTTCCTTAGGGGCAGAACTTGATCCAGTTGGTTCACTCCTGCCCCTAATAATGGACGCATAGCAGCATCCTTTAAGTCTCTATGGAGGCAATAATGAATGAGGGGATGGATGTCCTTGGTTAAGGCGTGGGATCACTGTGTCAGGTCCCTACAGAATTAACCTCACTTTGTCCAGGGAGGCTGCAGCCAGGAAACAATGGTGGTGGCTCCAAGGCCACATCGCTGGTAAACGGTGCGGCCAGGATCACGCCCCATCTGTCTGACTCACTGTTGGGTGATGTGGTCCAGACGCTTCTCAGTGCTGGCTGCAGAGGGATGGGATGAGTCAGAGCAGGAGCGGCCCTCTTCTCTGTGCCCTTGGTCCTCACCGTGTGCCCCGAGGATGACTGTGAAGTCTCCCAGGGCCGGGCCAAGGGCCAGGGACCTGGGTGAATCACTGGCGGGGGAAGCAGCACACTTGGGGAGGTGAAGGGTAGGGAACAGCTGTGGTACCGAGGGCCAGCGCTTTGCAGACATTGCAAGGCAGAAATCAGCCTTGGATCATGTTGACACTCGGATTCTGACTCAGGAGAATCGGGTGGGGTTGAGATTGCATTTCTGGCTGCACCCTGCTGCCACCCTGACATTAGCCCTAGGAACCTCAACATCCATGGACAGAAAAGCCCTTTGTCATTGGTAGACTTGGCAAGCCTTGTGCAGAGAGGCTAAGTTAGCATCAAGGACTGGAAATGATCTTGAAATGATGCAGATGGCCTGCAATCGGCCATCTTGCCTCTCCCTGTGGGAGCCTCCACAAGCCCCAACTGTCTGCCTGCCCCCTCCAAGGAAGGCAGTTGAAGTCCTTCCCGTCACCTTGTTGCTGGAATCAGTGAGATCTCCCAGAGGTCTCCAAAAGGGAGGAAGCCTGTACCTGGTCTGCGTTACCTGGGCTGTTGAACTAGTGCATTAGGGAAGGGAGCTGGCATCTGAGAATAATACCTGGGGAGACAGAGAGATGATGTGATTTCCAGGGAGCTGGAATTGGAAGTGGTCCATGGAGTCAGGGTCCAGCCTAGGCTGGGATCAAACCAGAAAACCACCCGCAAGCTTCAATATTAATTGGGACATTATTCAGCACTAACAACAATTCTTGCTCCTTCTCTCTTTCTTTCTTTCCTTCTCTTCTTCCTTTTCTTCCCTCCCTCCCTCCCTCTTTTTCTTCTTTCCTTCCTTCCCTCCCTCCCTCCATCTTTTTCTTCCTTCCTTCCTTCCTTCCTTCCTTCCTTCCTTCCTTCCTTTTTCCCTTCCTTCCATATTTGCTTTTTTTTCCTGTGGTAGTATTGGATATGGAACCTGGAGCCTTGTGCACACTTGGCAAGCACTCTAACCTTGATTTGCAGGCCAACAATTCCTTATACAAACAGCATTGCTTTACCCTAGTTAGTTATGGCTATTATCCAAAACACAAAAGATACCAAGTGTTGGTGAAGATGCAAAGGAACCTTTATACACTGTTGATAGGAATTATTATAGCAAGGAAATATCTACTAGTAAGGAGGTTCCTCAAAAAAATGAAAAATAAGGAATTGTGTGTAGGTCAATGACAGAGTGCTTGTCTAGCATGTAAAACACTCCAAGTTTAATCTTCAATATTGAAAAAATAAAAATAGGACTAGTATACCACGGCTAGTTTAATAAATACAAGCAATCTATATAAAAGGAAATACTTAAAAGATTAGGCATGGGGATGTAGATTGTAGTAAAGCACTTGGCTAGCTGGGTTTGATCCCTGGGAATGGGAAAAAAAAGGAAACAAAGAAAAGATGAAAGTGAGGTTTTTTTGGATAGGAAAACAAAAATATGCCAAAGGGGATTATTCTGATTAAAATATAATAATGGTATTGTGTGAAATACCACAGTGAAACCCCCTGGTACCGTTACTACATACTTTAAAAAATGACAGGAGATTAAAACAGGCTGTCTTGGGGAGGGAGATAGTGGGCAAGGGAAGGGAGAATCAGT